TATAATAATTAATAATAAAATAATACAGATATGAATAAATAAGATAATAAAATATATAAACATATAAATAAATAATTTAAAAAAATAGAGATAACAACACGATTAAACTTTAGAGTATAATTTTGAAATGTCCATCCGATATTTAACCATTAATATTAAACTCAATTCTCAATTTAAAAATCTGAAATTTTCACAGTAGATAATTCATATTTTAAACTTTAACTGTAATTAGTATCATTTTTCTTGTAATAGATAAAGAAGTTTTTATATATGGTTCCGATTGGTAATTATTTTCCAGATTTTTTTTTTAATTTTTTAAAAATGATTAACACAGATTTACTACATTAAAAATTCGAAAATAATTACAAAACTTTTGTTTTTAATAATAAAATAGTAAAAGTTAAACTAAGTTAAATTAAAGATAAAATTGAATACATCTTTTGAAAAAGTTTAAAATTTTTTAAAAAATTGAAAATATAATGATCATTTGAATTTTAAAGAAATTTTTCGAATTTTTTAAATTCGTGTCAATCATTTTAAAAAAAAATCTGAAAAATAATTACCAATCGGAATCATATATAAAAACTTCTTTATCTATTAATAACAATAAAATCTGTATTAATTACAGTTAAAATTTAAAATGTGAAGTATATATTGCGAAAATTTCAGATTTTTAAATTGAGAATTGAGTTTAATATTAACAGTTGAATATCGGACGGACATTTCAAAATTATACTCTAAAGTTTAATCGTGTATTGTTCTCTCAATTCTCAATATATAAGGCTACAATTTTCAAAAAGATGCTCTATATTTTAGGCTCTAAGGTTACTTAATATCACATTTATCGTTAAGTTAATAAATAATCAAGTTTTAAGGTATAAACGATCGATATAATTATTTTCAATTTTTTTTTTATTTAAAAATTTTATAAATTTCAGTCATTTTTATTCATGTCTAAGTCAATTCAAAATTTTTATTAGGTACTGAGAAAAACATCGATAATTAAAATTGTAGATATTAGTTTTAGCTACAATTTCATATACGATAGTTGGTATCTATCTCTAATACCTATCGAATGCGATATCGGTAATGATCTAAGAATAAATTTATTATTTTTTGTCAGTTTCATTTTAAGCGTAATATCTCTATAAATATGTGTTCGATTTTATATGATAGCCCTAGTTTAGGGGAGTCTAATAAAAAAAAGTTTGTACAATTTAGATCACTCATTGTGCCACAATTAGCATTTTAATTTTAGCAATTATTTTCGAATTTTATCATTCCACAAATACTTTTGCTAGGGGAGTGTATGTGAAAATATGAAAAAAGAATTAGGAATAATATTTTTAATATTTAAGATTAGCCATTAAATATTACTTGATAAAAAAATAGTTTTAGCAATAAGGTAAATATTATATAAAACTTAATATTTTGTTTATAGCTTGTAATATGATAACAATATTACTATAAAACTTTTTTGCTCGTTTTATTCTTTTTCTAATTTTTATATGTTCGATTTGTGAAGAACTGAACACTTTTTCTGATAAAAAAAAATTTCTGGCCGAGTTTACTAGATAAGTCACCGATTATTGCATCATCATTTTAAGAAGCATGTAATAAGTGCAATATTACATAATCAGGTGAACAACATCAGGAAATTTTATTTGCCGTAATATACGACATCTATGTATATTTTACAGTATTTATACAGGGATATCAGTGCTAAAAGGATGTATGTAACTTATGTCAACTTAGCCTAGAATCATGACTTTTGATTGACCATAAGAACACCTTAATAAAAAATCCATTGCGTAAAAATTTACGGAAAAAATTTCGCGGCAAAAAATTTTGTAATTTCTCCCAGAATTTTTACACCAAAAACTTCCTTTTTTTTGACTTCGATCGTGATTTGTGGGATAGGGAGGGATTTTTTGATTAAGGCATTCTTATGACCGAAAGAAAGCCTGATTTTGTTCTACGCGATGACATGAGTTTTATCATTTTAACATCAATATCTGTGATATATTTCGGTTTAAAGTCAAAACGGCCTTGTACAATACCGTAAAATATGCGTAGATTTCGTAATATTACGCCTAAAAAACTATTTGAATAATGAATTTTTTAATTTTTAGGTTCTAAATGCTCATTTAATAAATAAATCAAAATTAGTTAAAATAAATAAACAAAAAAATAAATCGACTTCATAAAGTTTTTAGTTATGTGACTTAAAAAAATGATGTCTATTAGATTACATAATGAATCCAGGTGTAAGTAGGGACCAATTTTGATTAATTATAATCAAAATCATTTCTGAAGCGTGTTGAGTCACATGGTTACACCAGCCATTATGTCCTCGTTGCATTTTTATTAGATGACATTTTTTTATTCATTATGATATTTAAGGCTAAAGCTTTTTTTTAAAAAAAAATCAATAAATAATTTTTTTCAAATTTACGTTTTAATGTGATAAAAATGAACGTGTAGGTCAAAATATCATTTATAATTTATAAAATCTCATTACCGAATTGAGTAACCAAGAAGAGCTAGCATTTATGCTGATCTGCATATATAATATTTTTTGATTATGTGCAAGAAGGGAAAATCGTACAGAATTTCAAGAATTATTAATTTTTATAGAACAAAGGTATAAGGTACAAAAGATACAACTAATTTTAATTATATCTTGTTTTTTAGTGAATAATAAAAAAAACAAAAAATCTTTGTTATAGGCATTTCATAATTTGAAAATTTTATTATGATATACTGCATATATATATATAATATATTAAAAAATGATCACTATAATTTTTTTTGCCTATTTAATATCTCTCAGGAAAGTGTGTACCATAAAACACACAGTTCAGAAAAATAGTTAATATTATTGGAATGAATAACGATCGAAATTTAGGTATAAGATGAGCGGATATAAAGGGATATAAAACTCTGATAATAACGATTCGTAGTTAGGACAATTAAATAACATTTTATAAAGAGTTGAAAATATTATTTAATTATAAATTAAATGAAAGTTTCTGAATAATTGAAAGAGTTCTGTAATAAATAAAAATTTAATCTATTTTTATTAATTCTAATAATGATAAATACTAGCCAATTTTTCCTTCATTCTAAAGTAATATCAAAAGCAAAAGAATAGGTCTAAAAAAAAAAAATAAATAACCATACCATTTGACTTGTCTAGACTTGCTTGTTTTCCTTTCAAAGTTTACTAAAAAAGAAATAATAAAAAGAAAAATTAATAAATAAATAAAAATTTTCATAACACCCGTGACGTCAAGCACAGCAATTGAATTTTGCGTTCTAATTTTTTAAAAAAGTAAATAATAGTTTGTATAACGATCATTATTTTTAATTAGCCATAAAATCGGAATTCATAAAGTTTTTTTTTCCACCACAGATGGCCGGAGTAGTTGCCAACACATGACCCATGACATATATAAAAAATTTTTACAATAGAGCTTTTTTATCTCTTGTCAATCGGAAAGCTAATTAGCAGAATATGGATATAAATAGGTATTGCATTCTAATTTCATTTTCGTACCGTGTTTATTGCATATTGCATTTACTGTGTACTGAGGATATCATGTTTCATGTAGCACGTTATGATGCAAGGCCGTGGTGAAACTCAAAACAAATGATTTGTTTGTTATTTTTGATATTCATTATTTGCAATAAAATAGTTTTAATTTAATTGGTTTTATAAATGATTAAATTGGAATCTAAAATTTAATGTATTGCAATAAAATAATTTTAATTTAATTGGTTTATAAATAATTACATTTGAATCTAAAATTTAATGCATTCTTTCATATTCTTTCATGCACGCATAATTCATGAACGAAAATTTGTTCATTTTATTTTTTTTAATTTTAAACAACGGAGCCTCATTCCAGAATGCTTATTATATTGAAAAATAAAGAAAATTTATTCATTTATTTATTTACGAAACACTTCTACCCTTACATTCTAAAAATGCATTCGATGAAATGAATGCCCAATTAAAATAAATGGTCTGGTCATTATTTCTTTTTCCGGAAATTCGACAATCTATTCATTAAATATGATGATATACTAGAATAGTAAATTTCTATATAGATTTAAATGACGCAAATCAGTGCCTAAACGAAGCCAAGTATTGGTATAAAAAAAATATTATATAAAGTGAGTTTAAATTTACTTCAATCGAACTTTCATATCTCAAACATGACAACAGAAAATTATTCAAGTTCACCCAAGGAACCTTTGTCACCAACAAGCACCGCAGAGAAAGATTCTCTGTCCTTCGATAGTTGCATAGCGATAAGTCCAGACAGTAAACAAATTGTCACTTTTTGTCCAGGTAAAATTAATTAATTAATTACGATTATTTCTTTTTTTTTTTTTTTTCTTTAATAATTTTTTAATAATCATTAACAATTTTTTTAATAATTCATAAAATAATAGAGAAGAGCGAATTTAAGTTATATAATACTAGTAATTTAAGTTCAAATAAATCTATTCCTACACCTGAGAATATTGTTAATAATGAACACGTTTGTTGGTCTATAGCAATATCTAATTGTATAGACGATGGTGGAAATGAACGTCTTATTGCATTATCTTGTTTTGATGCTAAAAAACTTCGTCGTAATGAAAATGACGAAAATGTTTTAGATAAAGTTAATAGACAATATGTTGATGCCGAATCTGGTGGCGATAATCAATCCAGTGGTAACGAAATCGAAATAAAATGTTCTCCTCAAACATGGGTCATCTCTACTGCTGATGGAAATAAAAAAAATACTTCTTTAGAATCAATTGGCGGTGTTATAAGATTTCTTGAAAGTAATGGCGGCGATAATGGTGGTAATAGTGATCAAAAAAAGACAGTAATTATTATGGTTAATGCATCAGGAATTTATAAAGAAACAAGGGATCATATTAAAAACGCACATGGTGGAAAAATAAAAAAACTTTTCTCACAAACATTCAAGGTTCAACAATTTGAACAATTTGAATTACCCCAACAACTTTCTGTTCGTCTTTCACGTGATCATTGGCAAAATTCATTTGAACTCTTACACGCAAGCATTAATAAAAATCATTTTATGGTACATTCTTTTAAAAATCGACAACAAATCATTGAAATGTATAGTTTAATCACTGGGGATCTAGAGATGTTATTTAAACGTCATGAATCTTCTGTAGCTCCCAACATAATTCGCGGTTCACCTATCTTTACCATCTCACAAAATGAAAAAATTTTAGCATTCTGTCGGGGAACTACCAGCATTACATTATACTCTATGGATAATGGTTTAGAAATTGCTACTAAACAATTAGAAGGTCAAAGAGGGATTTATAAAATCACTGCTATAAATTTTATTGATGATGACAATAAACTTTTAATAGTTCTTGACGAAAAAGAATATCTACGAGTTGAAATTCTCAAGCGTCAAATATTTGTAGTATGGGATTTATTTACCACATTTGAAAATTCCATACGTCAAATTGATTATTCAGAAACCACGAAACCCCTAAAAATGGATGTCACGCATAGATTAATGAATTCTCATGGAAAAATGTTTGCATTTAGAGATAGTGGAGATATTATTTCAGTATTAGATCATAAAGATCTTGTTTTAATTAGAAATCCACCAAAGAAGGTAATAACAAAAATTGAATCGGAAAAACTTGAAACGGATGATAATACTAAGAGTGATCACGACTATCATGTAATTTATAGTATAGATGGGGAAATATGCGACACAGAAAAAAATCTTATAATTATAAATAATGTTGAACCATGGCATCCAAACAAAAATTATTTTCGAATATCAGTTTTCTTGGATTTTGCTAGAAGAACTCAACTTATTATATCTCAGAACACTATACAAGTATGGAAAATTCGTAGTAATAATATTATAGGAAAACGAGATAAACATGATCGAGTATTAGAATACATCTGGGCTCGAAAAAGTGAGATAAAAGTTCTAGAATTGAGAATTGGAGTCCGAGAATTTGTGTTAAAAGTTTCAATGCCTTCTACTAATTCTTCCATATCAAAAACAACGACGATACATTGGCCAAATAATGTAAATGTTCTTGAAGGGTCATGTCGAGCACTTCATGTTTTAGAAGGGAAGAAACGTTTCATAGCTAGTTTCGAAAATGTTAATCAAATCGAATATTTAGAGGAATGTATACAAGGATTAGTACGAAAACATATTAAAAAATATGGAATATTTAGATTATCAAGTGTTAGATATCCAATTATGAAATATCTAATTAAAAGTAGTCAAGAAACTTTAATAAGACATATTTTAAATACGAAGATTAATAAAAAGAATAGTAATATATATATACCAAGATCATATAAATGGGTAGATAAATCAACAGCCGAGATCACAAAGCCAGGTTATAAATGGGTAGACGAGATCTCAAAGTCAGATTTGCATCATGCTATTTTATGTCAAAAAAGAGGTGATTCGACAGTAATTTTAAAATATTTAATAGATTATTATGCTGATAATGCTAAAGAATATAACAATTATGGTTGGCTGTTTACTGTAAGCAAGGCAATAATCTTACTATATGATCATCAATTAAGTAAGTTAAGATCTTTACTTTCGCTTAATTATATTATATTAATCAATCACTTTCAAGTCGAATTAAACTTTCTTACTTTAATTTTTTAAAAGATGAACTCGTTCGATATTTATTCAAAAAACCATGTTTTGGAATTACTGAAGCTTACACTCCACAATTACGTCTTTATCCTTATGATCAAAAAGAAGAAAATAATACTCTATCAATTTTAAAAGAACGATTTACAAGGTAAATTATAATTATTGATCACAAAGAGGAGTTAGGGCATTTTGGTCTTTTACTATCCTAATTATTTGTCTTTTAAAAAAAATGTTACATAAAATTTTATTATGATAGGACTGGAGCCTCAAATAATGATCGTAAAGTTTATATAGTCCCATTACCTGATTTTACAGTATATCCTAACCCCAAAGATCTTGACCCCAAAGGTCCTGAATCCAGAGATCCTGAACCAAATGGTCCTGAATATCCTATTGAAAACTATTCAAAATATTTTTGGTTTCTATTTACTCTTTTTCGAATATCTTTGTGGCCACGTAGAAAAGTTATTAAGAAAACTAAAAAAATGAGTCCTTTCCTTCGTGTTATACATGAAGAAAAAGGTTATGAAGTCTATCAGACACCTACAATTATGGCAGTCTTAGATTTCAAATGGTCAGCTGCTCGTAGATACTTTATTCGTCATATCGTTATGTATATATTTTATGCTATTTCATTTGGTATAACAGTTTTTCCATATTCAAATAAGGGAAAATCAAACGCAATTCTAAAAATTGGTCTCTTTGTATATTCTTATACTGGATGGTATTTAATTGTTACGGAAATTGTACATTTAAAAAGAGAAGGATTGTATCGATATATAAATATTTATTCTATCTTTGATCTAGGATCATTGTTATTACCACCGTTAGCAAGTATAGCGAGTACTTTATATAACGATCAAGTATTCATTTTTCAAAAATCAGTATATAATTCTATTTTAGCGTTTACAGCTTTAGTAATGTGGCTTCAATTGGTAAGTCTTTTTTTCTCTTTCTCTCTTTCCGGACAAAGCAAGTTTATTATTATTATTATTTTATTTTTATTCTTACTAATTATTTGCTATTCTATTAATAATAATAATAATATATATATATATTTAATTTTAGATATTACTATTGAGATATTTTGAAGGTCCAGGACGTTTTATTCATATCATCAAAAGTATTTTAAATACTATTTGGCTATTCTTTGCAGTAATGCTAATCGTCGTACTTGCATTTGGTCACGCTATGTAATTATAATAATTAATGAATGAATTTTGTTTTCATCATTTTAAACATAACGAATTTATTTTATTTAATTTTTTTATTATGATCGTCTTCAGGTTCATTCTTCTTAATGCGGATGACTTACATATTCCTACTTATAAAATTAACGACACTTCGAATTCTGACTTATATTCAAATATAACAATTTATCAGAATGTTGATAAATCTTCCCGACAATATTCACATTTCATTTCATCAATAGAAGCTGTATTCTTTTGGACCAATGGACGATGGAATCAATTAGATGAATGGGATAGTTATTCTGTAGAATTAATTAGCATATTAGGAAGTATAATATTGGTGTTAATTTTCCAAAATATGTTGATTGCATTTATGAAGTAAGTATATTATTTTTACAAATTATCAATTATGTTCATTATAAAATTAAATTTTTGAATTAAAAATTTTATTACTTTTAATTCCATAGTGCTGCTTTTGATAAAGCAAATGAAGCAGGTCACGCAGTGGCTTATACATATCGTGCTGAGCTTGTTGCTGAGTATGAAGCTTTAGAAAAACCTTTTGATAGCAAAAAAGGTAATCCTCGATACATTTATTATATACCTAATCCTGATGTGATTACCTTGCTTACGGAAACCAGAAAGGTCGAGAAACAAAAATCACATGATTATAGTGACGATGATGATGACAGTTGTGACGATAATGATGATAATGATGATGATGATGTTATTGATAATAAGCAAGGTGATAATTTAACTGATAATCAAAATTTTCATGTTAATTCTCTCACGAAAACGTTTTCAATCCTAACATGAATTAACTTTATTATAAATTTCGAAATTTTATTCTATTCAAAAAAATATCGATATATATAGAAAATGAAGGGTCTAATAAAAGTTCATTGGAGCAAAACTCCGTTGGATCTAAAAAAAAAATGACTATTGATTCTATTAATTCGCAAAATAGTCTAATCATAACCGTTGAAGATTCTTCAAATAATATGGATCCTTATGGGATTTTATCGCTGCAAAAAAAAGCTACTATAAATACTTTGGATTCTATCGATTCACAAAGTGGTATAATCGATAGAATTTCATTTATTGATGAAGAAATTTTTCAGTTTAAAGTAACTTCTTCCAAATTGAACAAGAAATCACTAAGAAATTGGGAATCAAACAAGAATAAACCTTTATCCGATGAACCAGGTCCTACTGCAAATGTTGATGATCAATCATCACTACAAGTAAAATTTAATATCATGGAAAATGAATTTAAGGATTTTAAAACGAAATTTGATGAGTTGGACCAAAATTTAAAAGAACTATTGAAAAATTTAAATAACCTGAATAATTCCAAATAGCGGTCTAGTGTTGTCAAAGAAAAATTTTTCGTGATTCGAAGGATAGAAATTGGTTGATAAAATAAATGAATTAATTGGTTCCTATAAAAAGGTTTTTATATAATTATTGTAATAAGGGTAGAGTTAATACTCTTTTTTTTTAATTTATATTTTTGTAAATTCTAATGTACTATATTTATATGTTTATTTCTATATTTATAATTGAATATATTAATTAATTATACCAGTACGATCACATTGAATGTGTAACATGAAATGCATAGGGATGGATGTATTCGACTTTTTTGATGTTTCTATGCTGATTTTTGTGATTTCCTTTTTTAGTGGAAATTATGATTTTCATTATTTTAGAAATGTGATATAGTTTTTGATTTTTGTTAACATTGTAATGATGACAAATGTTATAGTTTCATATTTTTGAAAGGGACCATAAACAATAGTGCCAAGTTGCTGCATCAAGCTTTAAATTTATGAGATGCACTTTTCAGTATGGCAAAAGATTCATTTTTGATAGACTTATGGTTATTTTTTTTTTGATATATCAAGATGCACGAAAAAAGTGGATATTTTTTTGATATGCCTTTAATTGTTTATTTATAGATGCATCAAAAATATAACCATTTTGTCACATGAAAATTTGACATATCAAAATAAATAACCATTGATCTACAGTGTGGAACTTCTATAATAGGAACTTGGTTATAATAAAAATTGTTCAGTCTTTTTGCATTAAAATTTTATCTACTTTATATAGAAAAATTTTAACTGTAGAAATTGATGGCTTAGAATCAGAGCTTTCTGAATGATTGGTTAAAGTTTTGATCAGATTTAAAGTAATTAACTTTTACTGAGGTTGAAATTCCTGTATTTAATTATACTTACCAAATTTGAGAATATACTAAAAATAGTAAAACATTATAATTTTGTTTAAAAAAACTGTTCCTGAAGTTTTATTTTTAATTTTTTTAATTACTATTTAAAAATATGTACAAAAATCTTGGAGCATATAGATTTATATAGAAAATGTTTTACTGGAAAAATGACAAGATATGCAATTAAAAAATATAAATTTTATTTTCAAGTACTTGATATAATTTATAATGAAATCAAATAATTAAAATTTCAATAAATAAAATAATTTTTAAACTCATAATCTTTATTGTAAAGTATATATTGTAAAGTATAGACTATACTTGCACACAAAATTATTTTGAGAAAAAAAGTTAAAATAGTTTTTCATAGAAGACAAAATTACTTTACTTAAAACCTGAAATTTTTTAACTACCCAGATAAATTTCTTGATTAAAGATACACTTAATTGGATATTTTTTTTACATCCATATATAGAATGGATTCTGAATAAATCTCAAAAATATGAATACTCAAAAATCATAAATCAATTTTGGAAACATTTATAGTATAGACACTGTTGACCGAGATTCACCTTCAAAAGAATTTGATAAACTAACAGGAAAAATATGTATAGCTAAACTAAACAACTATACTAAATATGTTATCATTGAATTGGTTATACTATAAAGAAAATATTTTTTTTATTTTTTTTTTTTTTTTTTATATCCAACGGAGTCTTGCTCCAATAAACTTTATTAATAGATTAAGTGTAAATTTT